TGACAATCTTGCTCTGTTTCTTCTTGGGTTTGCTTCTTACTCTTGTATCATCAATGCTTCTTAAAAAGATTAAAAACTCAAAATTCAATCTTCCTCCGAGCCCTTCGAGTCTTCCGATCATCGGAAACTTACATCATCTCGCAGGATTGCCTCACAGATGTTTTCATAACCTCTCTATCAAATACGGACCCGTAGTACTTCTTCGTCTCGGTTTTGTTCCAGTGGTTGTGATCTCATCGAGTGAAGCAGCTGAAGCCGTTCTCAAAACCCATGACTTGGAATGTTGCAGCCGACCAAAGACGGTCGGGACCGGAAAACTCTCTTACGGTTTTAAAGACATCACTTTTGCGCCTTACGGTTCTTATTGGCGCGAAATGCGAAAACTCGCGGTCATCGAGCTTTTCAGCCTTAAAAAGGTACAATCTTTTAGGTATATAAGAGAGGAAGAAGTCGAATTTGTGGTGAAGAAAATGTCGGAATCGGCTTTGAAACAAACTTCTGTTGATTTAAGCAAAACCTTTTTCTCCCTCACCGCAAGCATTATTTGTAGAGTAGCTTTAGGACAGAATTTCCATGAGAGCGGATTCGTTATCGATCAAGATAGGATCGAAGAACTCGTTACCGAATCAGCGGAAGCTCTAGGGACTTTCACTTTCTCTGATTTCTTCCCTGGTAGAGTTGGAAGATTCGTAGATTGGTTGTTTCGACGACACAAGAGGATCAACAAAGTCTTTGAAGAACTTGATGCTTTTTATCAGCATGTGATTGATGATCACTTGAAGCCAGAAGGAAGGAAAAATCCGGATATTGTATCCTTGATGTTGGATATGATCGATAAACACGGAAATGCGGATTCTTTCAAACTCGATATGGATAATCTCAAGGCAATAGTCATGGTCAGTTTTTTTTTAATTTCATATCAAGTTTATATGTTTTAACAACTATATCAATTCAAACTTAACATATATGTTTATGTGATGTTTCAGGATGTATTTCTCGCGGGGATAGATACAAGCGCGGTCACTATGATTTGGGCGATGACAGAACTCGCTAGGAACCCTAGAGTGATGAAGAAAGCTCAAGAAAATATCCGAACCGTTCTCGGACACAAAAGGGAAAGAATCACTGAAGAAGACCTAGACAAAGTTGATTACTTGAAACTCATAATCAAGGAAACATTCAGATTACATCCAGCACTTCCATTCATAATCCCAAGGGAAACAATGTCTCACTTCAAGATTCAAGGCTACGATATTCCCCCGAAAACGCAAATCCAACTTAACGTATGGACGATTGGACGTGACCCGAATCGTTGGACCGACCATGAAGATTTCATCCCTGAACGGTTTAGCAATAGTTCTGTAGATTTCAGAGGACAACACTTTGAGCTATTACCGTTTGGTTCTGGTCGAAGGATCTGTCCCGGGATGCCTATGGCGATTGCGACCGTGGAGCTAGGATTGATGAATTTGCTTTACTTTTTCGATTGGAAATTACCTGATGGGATGCAAATTGGAGACATTGATATGGAAGAAGCTGGTAATATCTCCATTGTCAAGAAACTACCTCTTCTACTCGTTCCCGTTCATCACTATTAATGTGCAGTGAAAGTAAAATAAAAACTTATAAACATGGAAAGTGTTTAAAGCAGAAATGCTAAAATTCTTTAGATATTGTTGTGTTTTAATTATAAGAATAAATGTTTGAACAAGATGTAAAAATAAAATAAAAATATTTGTTCATTCTGTTTCAGTCATAGATAAACATTGTCGAGTTATACATCAATTAATGTTTGAACAATTTATATGAAGACATGTTCATCATACGTTTTGTTCATTGGCTTGACGATGGTAATTTCTGTCTATAATTATTTATCTTTTTTTCTCATCAAAATGTATGTCCTTTTTTGAAAAAAGAATTGTACGTAATACTATAACCCCTAAATTAAATATTGATAATCTTATTAAGTTACTAAAAAGTATATACACCATCTTAAAAAAGTATATACACCTTCTTAGTATCCTTTCTTATTGTTTACCGTCTTTGTTGTTCTTATGTAATAATTTTTCATGTTGTAACATTTTCACCGGCAGTTTTTTTTCAGAAAAAAAAGAAGATAATCTGATTAAGTTACTTTACATATCCGGTGCAGCTTCACAGTAGTGGGTTTTTTTCCGCAGATGATACTGAGAAAATGGGTATCATAACAGAGA